ACACAGTGAAACCCCGTCTCTACTAAAAAAATATAAGAAAACTAGCCGGGCGAGGTGGCAGGTGCCTGTAGTCCCAGCTACTTGGGAGGCTGAGGCAGGAGAATGGCGTGAACCCGGGAGGCGGAGCTTGCAGTGAGCCGAGATCCAGCCACCGCACTCCAGCCTGGGTGACAGAGTGAGACTCCGTCTCAAAAAAAAACAAAAGAGAGACCCTGAAAGGTAAGGTTGCCTCAGAGCCCTCTGTGCCAGGCTCTGCATACAGGAGGGCTAACCCACTCCCCTGATGTCACCGTGTCCTGGGGCCCTCACCCCTACTCCTCACCCCCAGAAACACCCAGGAGGGCCCAGGATGGGAATGAAGGCAATTTTACTTGGCTACTAAGAGAAAGGGTGATCTGGGGGTTGGGCTGGCTCCTACCCGGGAGGCCCATGTCCAGGCACAGCTGCAGGTGTCTGAGGGCTGCCTCCACCTCCGGCCGCCGGCTCCCCTCGGGCCCTGGGAGGACAGGTCTATGTGCCGCAGACAGGCCCGGGTTCCCACCACCAGGCTCCTCCAACCGGCCCCGCTCCCCACGGCTCCATCCAGGAACACCTCGTCCTCACCCCAGAGGCGGCATTCCCATTTGACAGGCGGGAAAGGTGAGGACGGGACGGCGGCTGTGACCCTGGTAAACCACGGCCTTGGTCTCCCCTTTACTTGTGCCTCCCCACCTGCAGCCCCGGGCTGGGACGGGGATCTGCTTACCGGCCAGGTCACTCTGCAGGGTCCCATGTGCGACCAGGTGGATGGGGGCTTCCAGGCAGGGAACTCCTTTCGCAGACAGGGAGCTCTGAGGTGGGAGCAGCCCCTGGGAGAGGCGTGAGGTGGGTGGCGGGCTCTGGCCCCTGCCTGTGCCCCCCGAGCTCTGCACACAGAGGCACTGCTTTCCCCTTGGGAGGCAGCCTCGGAGAGTCTCAGAGGCATACACGCGGCGCTCAATAAATGCAATGGACTGAAGCCATGGATGGGACCCTTCCCGTGGCCTGGAGCCTGGCCCTTGGGAAACCCCAGGTGGGCACATTTGGACGCAAATGGATCCCAGCTTTGAAGCATCAGGATGGGACCAGGGAGAGGGGGCCGGGCTTGGAGACCCCAGAAGGGGTTCAGAGAAGCTGGCATGGAGGAGGGGGTTTTAGCAGGGGTCAGGCATGCCCTCCACCTGTCCCTCCCCGTGTCCCCCACCCCGACGTCTCACCTCACCACCCCACTCCATGGAGTCAGGGTCTGGCCCATCTTTTCCTGGACCCGAGGCCTCTTTAGGTGTGAAGGGGCCTGAGGGAGGCACAAGACCTTGGAGGGGGCACAGCCTGGGCCCCGAGCGGGGCGGGGGGCACCTGCTACCCACACCCACCCCTGATGTGGAGACAGAGGGGAGCAGATGGCAGGTGGGGGCAGGTGTGGGCAGGTGGGAGGTGTGGGCAGGTGGGAGGTGAGAGGTGTGGGCAGGTGGGAGGTGTGGGCAGGTGGGAGGTGTGGGCAGGTGGGAGGTGTGGGAGGTGGGAGGTGTGGGCAGGTGGGAGGTGTGGGCAGGTGGGAGGTGTGAGAGGTGGGAGGTGTGGGAGGTGGG